CGAAGTGGTCCATTTAAGAGCTCTCCGACTGCTTTTCCTACTATTTTTCTCACCGACCTACCCAATAAGCACCTCTTATTCTAAATTTCGACGCAATTACCCAATTACGCTTTCCTAGCCATCGTGAACTATGCCTTCAAGCCAACAAAGTGCAGTGGCAGCAAAGGCAGCGCGCGCCGTCATGACGCCACGCGCTAGCTAAACTATACAGTCGTGTTCGCTGCTGATCCACGTGCAGGGGGTGAGCTGGTTTGAGCGCGGCGTGAGCCTATCCTCCATCGAGAGCAAGAAACAACAATGGTGGAAAACGAACTGGCGCCGCTCCAAACTCCGCCCCCGGCACGCCCCGGCATTCGCTGCGGAAAAGACTTTTTGCTCTTTCATTGATATTTTTTCTGATTTACTTTCTCTTGTTGCTTTTTCAGCCTGTTTTCAGTTAGCCCTCACATTGCCATTTTCACCGGCAGCTAAGCTCATCGACCAATATGAAATCGTCAATAACGCAATTTCTGCAACAGGTCAGTTCCATTAGTGGTACATAGGTTCCATTTATTGATTTATTCTAAACTCATACATAACAAAATCATGGCAAATACGACAATTACTTGGAGCGAAGAAGTGAATATCGATTACATTCATGAATTGAAATCGATTTTGGGAGCTTCGGCAGCAAGATCGTGTGGCACGCGACGCAACTGCGCGCGTCCACGCTTGCTAGTCTCACAACATACAATGAAATGGAATGTCTTTATTCTGGGTTAAAGGCATGCAAAGTGAACATTTGACGTACGTCTCCAACCACCTCATTTGTTACAAATGACCTATATTTCCTGGAATTCTTGAGCTATTGGAACTCTAAAAATTGTGAGGTCTGCCCATGTAAATGCAAGGGTTTCTGGAAGAATAGTTGTTTATTAGTGTTTGTATTTATTAGTTTTGTAAACACATGGTGCGCGAAACAGCTAGGTATTAGAAAGATGTGTGAAAGATTCACGGAGCAGAGATGAGAGGGGCATCGGAGGTCGGAAGCAAGGGAATCACTGTGGCACGACCGGAATTGAGAGAAGTTGTCGGAAGTCGGAACACGGAAACTGGCTGAGCAAAGTAGCAGAAGGGAGCACTCTATTTCTATGAAATATCCGCAAATAATGTAGATGGATAGACTTGACCAAAGGCAGTTTCCCGCTGTCCCCCCCCTCCGCTCGCAATGACTTCACACATCTTCCCATAAAAATTTTCTCCCAAAAAAGGATCTTTAACAAAGGCTAGTGGAAGGCGGTTCGACCTTTGGCACTACATTCATTGTCGCTAGTCACTCTACGGGGCTAAGAGGTGCTCAAACAGCTCCACTTAGTTTTCGGTCGCTACGATGCATGTACTTGAGGGCCTCGATAAGGTCGAACCGACAACTGGCGGTTTTCATGGCAATAAAAAAATCGATATGCACAAAAATCACAGAGACTGATATACCACAATGATTAAAATTCAAGAGAAGCTATACGTCATGCACGTCGGGCACGAAATTCCTTGATTATATGCATTAGAGATGGAAACGCTTCGCGTACCATCAGCGCTAAACCGAAAGATACCGCGATAACACGAATTTCGTTGTCGCTACTCATCACCCATTCCATCTGAAAATAAAGGGTTCACGATTTCTGCGATCATAATGGTCGGCACTGTTTGGCTTGGGAGGGACATTTTGCACAGTAGCTAGTTCTTTTCATTGTACTCGTCACCGCTTGGTAAAACCTGTACACTAATGTCAACTGTATTTGAAGCTCTTGCTGATGCATAGCTTTACAAAAGTTCACAGGTCTACTTACTTAGGAGGCATCGGCAATAAGAGACAGCAAGAGCTTCAAGTTCGTTGACATACTAACAAAATGTCCCCTCCAAACCGAACGCGCCTGATAATCAAGAGTCAACAGTAGTATAGTCAAGTTTATCGAAATCCCAGTTGATTATTATGCATGTTTAGCACGAAAGTAGTGCAGTGGTAAGTAGAGTGGACCACGCGCCGTCCAGAGGTGAAAGCTTGAATTGACTCCTGCCCTGGCCCACCAGGAAGCTTTACACCCATCTAAGTTTGATAAAATAGTACAGGACTTGTCTAGAAGGATGAAATGCCGATACACTTCTTGGCCAAGCAGGTCATTGTAATGGGTCCTTCCGAATAATTTTAAAAGGCCCTACGATAATGGATAAAAGTAAAATGCGTGGCACAATAGGAAAAGGATTGCTTAAAGTCAATAACTTTGAGCTCTTTACATGGACCATGGCGACAAGAGGCGCTAATAGCGGACGGATTAGCATTTTCGAAGGCAATGGGTAACCATATCAGCCCTAAGGGCATTTTGATCTCTGACTAAGGGTTCATATGGGGAGGGGTTCACACTAGGCTCCTCTGAAACCCACGTTAGATTGCATATAAGGGCTACAACATGAGTGCCCTGAAGTGGTGGTGCCAACGAAGGTAGACAGTCGGGAGGACAGTTGGTTTCAATTAATGGGGGTGGATGAGGGAGGAAATTTGATGATAGCAACCTTGAGGGCAGGGGAGGGAGTAAATTCTCAAGAATGCTTGGACAAAACTGGGATTAACGCCGAAAAGAGTTAGTGTACTTGAATTTGGATTACCACGAAGCTCTTTCCTCGGCTCCCCGTTAGGCAGAAGCATCATTCCCATTGTAGCAGTTTTACTTTTACTTCTTTTCATAGATTCTTTGAATACCCTCCCTTCCCAAGGTCACCAGCGCCGAAGAACTTTATGAATTCCACTTCGCTCATTCGGGCGAAGTAATGCAGTGGAAAGTGGCGCTGCTTGTAAACCGCTTTATTTCGGGCTTCTAATTACGGGACGACTTCCAGGCATGCTATCAAAAACCGCGACGATTTCGAATAAAGTGCAGAATGTATAGCGTATCCCAAAAGGGGTTAGATATCAATACCGTGCCTAAAGTTTTATACTTCGAATGTTTAGGTTTAATAACTTTTGGGTGGAAGAAAACGGCAAGCAATCAAAGTATTCTCTCGCCTTGATCTGGGCCACATTTTCTTATTTCATTGATTGAAATATTTGCCTCTGTATCATACTTTTATCTCTTTTCCTTTGGAAGTCTCTTGAGAAATCGTCTCGTTTTCAACCGGCAAGAAAAGAAAGCAGATTTGACATTCTTTTCGTCGCATTCAGACATCAAAGTCTCCTTGTTTCCTACATCGATCATTTTCTTGCATACAATCAATCTTCCAGCATGGTTTAGGCGCCTGGGGCGTTTGCCAAGCACTAAACATGGCTCTTGCTACTCGGACTGGGGTCATGCCAAATAAGGTTATGCTAAGAACAGCCCTATTGTATACTACTCGTGCAATACCCAGACCAGGTTTAGGCAAAAAGAAACAATGTAGGATGGCCAGAACTGAAAGTGAATTCTCGGAAGCGCAAAGGCGCGTCAAAACCAAATGGAAAGTATGCGATATTTGGACGATCATAACCTTTGGGGAGGGGTGGGCGAACCTGTGAGTGTCAGTGTGTAGTTTTCTGTCTTTTTTTTGACATTTGCTTTTTTATTTTCACAGTCGTATTTCACCGAACAAGTGCTGAAAATTCCTTTCAATTAATCCTGTCAAGCTTGACAAAATGCCGTAGCTCTGGCGTCATTTCAACGCCATTCGCTTCGTTTTTATTTTTTGAATATTGGCCAGTTACTTTGACTAAGTTTGAAGGAGTTATAACATTGAGTGGCGTTGATATACAAGGCTTAGCGAACGTGTGTCGACAAGGTTGTCCGCTGTTCACAGTTAACGTTGACAAGGTGCTTAGCAGCCCTCCAAAGGTTGCTAGTGGCCCGAATCCAGCCAGCAAAAGCATGGATGGAGACTCGGAACCCTGTCTTCCCCTCTAAGTTTGACCTTCTTCTTATGCAGTGTTACGCCAGTAAGGAAATTACAGTACTTGTGAGTCCCCGCCCATCCATGATTGCGGAGTGTGCCAGTGTAACATGATAATAGATAAGTGGATGAAATAGAACCCGAAAAGGTTTGCAAAAATAATATGTGTCATTCTAGAACCGTACAGTGGTTGAATGACGAAGACGAAATAATAAGAAAGTTGACATTAATTGACCCATCTCTGGGATGCGCCATATACACGACTTTCTTCCGACAATCTCAATGTTATATAGAAAAAGTAAATTGGCCAGTACAAAGTTCCGTGTAGGGGAGTCACTAATACTCGTCCACCTGGGGTAGTTTTTAGGAGGGTCGCACTTGATGCGATACCAGGGAAGAAGCTTGATTAGTACGACGGACTATGTATAGTGTTAAGGCGCTGTAGGTGGTAGCAGCCCCACCCTGCCCCGCTTTATGTGTGTCTTGAATAAACTGAAAAAAATGGGTTTACGCAAATCGACACTAACTATTTATGCGAGTGGGCAAGTGTTCATGTGAAGTCCAAATCTGGGCCAAGGTAGAAGAAAAGCGCCCCCTACGTAGACGTGTTCTCCGGGGGGAGGGGGGGTTGAAATGCAGTGGAATTCTACTGATTAATACTGCTGTCTACAGCTTCAAGTAATTATCAATCAAGTCATGGGCAAAATGGCCCTGTCTTATGGTCTAGAAATCTGACTGGGCCAGATAAAACTTGAGCCAATGTTTTCTTTACGTGGTCAGAAGGCTTCTTGATAGTTGGAGGTGTCGGTTCGAATTCCGCTCGGGACCATAACGTTTGCCCACAAATCAGTAATCTTGTGAATAACAGAACAGGAGTAGAACAATTTCCTTAGAGGAGAGCACGGACATCCGAAGGACTGCTTGTGTAGAACCTATATTACCGTAATAAGCGGACACGCTTTTTCGCGGCAAAGAAATGGTTCAGCCACCAGGAAGTCTGTTCTCGTCCTGGAATTGGAGATCTACAGCATAAGAAGCCTCGTTTGAAGAACCTTCAGCGCTCGCGGATATGACTTTATGAGCCGCCGCCGTCCTTTTCGCACTCCCAGCTAAATTGCACCTATAAAATATGTACCTACCTTGACAGAATTTTCCTCGAAGAATGACGTCTTCGGTTCGATAATCGCCGTGATGACGTCATGAGTGATCAAATTCCATTTTTGTCGTGTGAAAGCACATCCACAAGTGAACAATATACTCAGCAATGTTGGCCGAATGGCTTCGATTCGGGTGCTGAAACGTCACCGTTAGGCTTCAGCTTCAGCGAAGTGAACACCAGGAATAGTTTTTGTGTATTTGCACAAGCTGCACGCTTTGGTGTGTGTCGAATTGTTCATATAGGCGTATGAAACTGCTGTTATAATAGTCGGCTATTGCTTCTCGACATGCCCTCAAATTATCCCTTTTGTACGCTCGACCTTAAAGAGTTTTCCATAGAACCTTTTTTTTTGAGGCCCTACCTGCTCAGAAATAGGACAGAATTCCTTCTCACATCGTACATTCCTCATTGACGCTCTTTTACTCAGCTGCATGTCTGTGGTTAGAATAGCATCTTCCAAGCTGCTCCATGCCTCGCTTGGTAAAACATGTTTGAGCTGCTATGTAGCTGGAGAGGTTGGGGGGGGAACACTCCACCACGCCTGTGTATCACTTCCCGAAAGAAGCCCACCCTCAGAGAGCAGACGACAAGAGCTGCCGAGCGATAAGACGTACTAGTTTCCACTGAACCTACAGTCCTTATCATTGCGGATCGTGTGAGGCGCATGAGCAGCGCGATCCGAGTCCACGGTTCGGCTCCCTTGCTCTACCAATGGCGATCGGGGTGTAAGCGTGATTAGGGGAGGGGATGGAGGCGCTGACGCATGATCACCCTTCCCCCAACTACGTCAGCGCCCCAAACTTTTCTGGTTTTCGGTTCCCGGATTTTGAAAACCAGTTTCTTTTATCCAAAGTAAAGTTATTTTGAACGAATTAATTAAGAAAAGTGTAACCATTTCACCCATTTAGTTCGTCGTCCGTATTTGCCTGTATTGTGATGATGCCACCAATCTCTCGCAACTCGTATACTGTCATACCTAAACTGAAATTTTATCTCTTTATGAAATGACCAGCTATGAATTTTCTAGATATTCAAAGTTCTTCTCTTCTTATCCTCCGCTTTTTCCTCTTTTTACTTCTCCTCGACATTCCAAAGATGGTGTAATAGCAACAGGTGCACCATCTTTGTGGGAATCCCATCAGGGGGAGTCGTATGGGTGTCGGAAGAGGACTGTGGTGCTGGGCGTAAGAATTTTTTAGATTGCTCATTTACGCGATTTTACGTCTGCCATGCACCCCCTGACCTCGTCATACGAGGGCAGATCCCGGTAAAATTTGGTAAGATGGTAGTAAGATGGTGGGTGGTTGGGTAAGAGGTCGCATCGAAGGCACATACCCCTACAAACACTTGATATTGTCGCCCATCTGCGGGGCGGTTCATGAGAGAAGTAATAAGCCCCCACCCACGGCACTTTCTGCCACTCGTTGTTTCCTACGTGAACCGGCGACTATTGGTGGAAAACGCAGCCCCGGGCAGGCCCATTCCATGTCTTCTGAGACCGCTCCGCTGAATAGGAACGATATGAACTCTGACTAATGGTTGTGATAACAAGTTTTTTACAAATAATCAATTTCTGACTGTTTAATCTATTGATCCCTTGTAAGTAATCAAAGTGTAATAAATATGGAAGCCATAAAAAACATCAAATAATAATGTTGTGAAAAAACACAAGTAATGGAATTGCGATGCAGATGTTGATAATACATAGTGATAAACTTGAAATTAATTACCCGTTACTGGATGTGCGATTTTTGCAATAAAGTTAGGCGAATCGTCGTCATTTGCGAGCGTAACATCACAGATTTTTCGTTTTCCTTCGTTCAATATCATGCTATCCGGGTAGAGGCTCGCTTGAAAAGAAACATACTGAGACATATAGAGAAGAAGCCTACTCTGGCAGCTGTACGGTCCACATCTAAGGACAGCAAGAGGCGTGACTGTAAGAGGACAACTCGTCTCTCGCAGACGCGACCTCGCTCGCCCATGAGCGGCGCATATTACGATTGTCCTGTCGCGTTACTCTTGCTGCACCTCGATAAGGACGATAAGTGTTGCACTAAAAGTTCGGATTACCTTGCATGATACGGTAGCCACTGTGATCAATAATGTCGAAATCAACAGGATCGAATTGCACGGAGTTCTTTGTGACATAATGACTCACTGCTCGTTGATACTGAAATATAGGGATCACATTCAATGGAACGAGCACGTAGAATGGGGATTGAGGCCTCTTCGGGGTAAGTGAGCATTGGTGAAATCTTAGCTAGCTGAAGGTCTAGTTCTCGCTGATCATATAGGCGGAGTCGGACTTACAACTAAGCATTCCTCTTCTCTGCCGTCACGGAAAGTTGTAGCGCTGCAGTCCACGAGACACATGGCAAGCCATACCTGCCATATTGTCAGAAATGGAGCTTTTGTTCAATTTGGGCGTCCTTTACAATATTTACACGAGCTGCAGTTTGCCACGGAATTAAGACTGCGCACGCGGGTGACAGCTTTGTTGGGAGGCGTTCCAGGAGAGCTACGACAAGTTGTCGTATAGGTGTGTGTCGTGGACAAATCTTGTATAGCTGCGAGCAGTGAGCGCATGCAGGCGCATGGGTTTTGCGCGCGCCAGCCCGGTAACCAGTATGGTTGAAGCGTGTAGAGGCGTTGGAGAAGTTGAATGTGCGGTCAATGCCTCCAACTTCACTGATAAGCTCCTTCATTGGAGCGGACAAGATGTTTCTTTCTCCAGAAGGACTATATCCTCCTTGGCTGTCGGCGCCGCTCAATTACTACATACTGCTCTTTCTGATAGCTGGTTCGAGAGGACCCCTCCCTCTACCCTCCCCTCGCGGTGTTTGTCGACGCCGTTTTGTGGGTTGTGGTGAAAACTGGCCGAATTTTAAGGTTGGAATTGAAGGGTTTGGGTAAGGCGGGCAGGGTAGTTAGTGGTGGGGTTGTTGGTCGAATTTGTACTGAGTAGGGAGAGGGGGGTGTGTGGTGGGAATTTCATCCAGTTCAATGTTTCTGTTTGCTTGCTACGCGGACACCGCTAGAGATGGTCATTTACAAGTCTTACGTAATTGAGCTCAAATCGCTTCAGCTGCATCATAAAGATGTTACTCGTCAGAAGGCTGAGGGTACGGCGCATGCAGAGTTTCGGATTAGTGCTTATCTTCTTCGAGACATCTGTTGGGAGTGCGCGGTACTCGTCGGTGAATTCATAATATAAGGTGAACTCCTCGAGTGAGTGAAGAGCTGAGGTGTATGGCATCTTTATTACTCTTCAATGGAATTGCCCTGAAAGGTGTCCTTAGAGTTTATTGGATAGGGGGCTGGGATCAACCCAATTATTCTCTGATTTATTCGTGCCTTTGCTGGTTTTTCACCTTCAAACTTATCTCACCAAATCACTTCTGAAATATTTCCCACGTTTTACTGTGACTCTCAAGGGGCAATAGGAAGAAAGATTTCTTTAAGTTTTGGCAAAGCTCGGATGTCTTTCGGGATATCCGAGGCACGACATACTAGCAGGGGAAAGTTGCTTTATAAATGAGGCTGACAGGTACGCTTGCATCACCTCGGTTGGAAACCGGAAGTTCTGCAGTGCGAATGAGCGCACCGCGACACCATTTGTGAGGGTTTTCGCAACGTGACTGAGGCATAATCTCTGCAATAGCTGTGGGATTCCTGCGTTTTGTTCTTTTTTCGAAGATGTGATGCAGTTCGCATTATTGGCCAACCTTGTCAGCGGTAGAGGGGCGCTAGTTTGCATTTTTGGTGTTATTTTTGTCTTTATCGGTTCATATTTTGAGTAGCAGGTCTCACTTGGTCTGACATGTTAAACAGAGGTACAGCATCGTTGTGTGAACACTAGGGGGGTCGTACTTTTCTCTACTGGGGAGTGGGGTCGTAGTTCGGTCTTGGAAGACAGGCGGGGGGTGTCGTTAGGTGCCTTCTTGAGACAAGTATGTGTTGCCGCCAAGTGGACAAGATTTTCGCCTGTGGATTGTATTTTGGTCGTGGGTGATTTTCGTTTTAGGAGGGGGGAGCATGTGTGAGGGAGATGATTTGCGTGGGTCGTAAATTCCGGAGAGATAGAAATGTATATATATTATTGATATTGTGTATGAGTCTGGGTGGGAGAGAGGCTGCAGAGAGGTGCTCCCGGTTTGGTGGGCCATGTGTCGTAGATAGCCCGCTGAGGTGGGAAGATCGTGGGTTGGGGGAAAAGTGGGGAAAATGTGGTGAGAAATTGGCAGGTGGGTGCGGAGGAGAGGAGAGGCTGTTCGTACGGGACCTCCCTGCGGGGGAGGGCGGATGGGAGGGGGGTGCGGGTTCGTGACGACACGCAGCCTTCACACTTTACTATGCTGTACCCTGCATGTATAATAAACCCTCGAAGCTGCGAAATTGTTCGAGTGAGCCATCTGAATCCCAAAAATTCACAGGTTTTCGGGAATGGATTTATACAAATAGGCGAGTATCGGATTGGTGCTCCTCACGAGGCCGAACTGGGCGTGTTAGATGAGCTTTCAAAAACATTAATTTGACTGCAAAAAATTTGGCGTGGGTTCTAGGCTCTTTGATTATATTTTTTCGGATGATTCATAGCTTGGGGCCGAGTGTCGGCGGTAAGCGAACTCGAACCGGTGGGGGCTGGGTTGGAAATTTTTGAGTGGGTATACCTTTTGCGTCTGCCAGAATCGTAATCACATCGCATCAATAGCGATATGACAAAAAGAAGCTAATGTTGCCATGTCGTTAGACTCTTCAATAGCTCATTCACATAACAAAAGCTTTGTGGATACGACAACACTCGACAAGGCAATAGCGATCGATTGATTTTAGTTTAACCTGGCCCAATGAAGTGTTTAAAAAAAGGAATTTTAATGTCCTTGGCTAAACACCATAGGCTTTAGTCGTGACATCATGGCACATTGGAACCATATTGTCCAGTGACTGAGGAGGAAGTCCGATTGTAACTGTGCCATCATGACTTGCTCTAGAAGCTCTGCGTTACCTATGTGTGCCTATTTTGGCCAATGTGTGTTTCGCTAAAGTGAGCTACGTCTGGGCGATGCCTGGCTTATGTTCCCTTTTTGAATTTGAATTTGTATGGAACTTTGGTGATAGATGGTATTCAGGGTGGGGGTACAAAGTATTATATTCCGCGTCAGGATGTTGCGATTAACAAATACAAAAGACTTTAAAGGCCTGTAAATTTTGTTCTTGCCAGCCGCAGCCACTTTTATTAGAAATTGGCCCGCTTATAATTGTTTTGCTAGATTTTTCCTCGAATGGAAAACTTCGGGGGGGATTGTATGTGACTACAATTTTCCTGATTAAAGTGGAAAGTGGACTTAGGAACCCATCCCATTCCAAGACGGGGGTTTCGGCCACCACTGTGCCATTCCTGAAACGGAGCGCTTTTCTTTTTCTAACACGTCCGAGAGGCACGGCACGGTATTGACAAGAAGGGGCAAGGTGGGCCCGCTCTCCTTCAGACAACCATCGTGCGACTCTACCTTGAACTCGTATCCGCCCCGACCACTGTGCCCTCCTGAAAGGGAGCGTACCTTTCTCTAAAACTGTCCCAGAGGACGGCACAGCTGATCATAGAGGAGGGTGGGCAGGGGTGTGGCCCTGGGCCTGCGGTGGCCCTAGTTAGCAGAGCCGATCGGGGGGGGGGTGTGAGACTCTTACCTCAAACTCATATTCCGCAAAGTGGTGGGGAGGATTATTTTTGTATTTAGCGGTGGTAGTTGGTTTAGCGCGCTGTGCTGGGGGGGAATTCTAGAGGGGGGGTGGGGTATCAACAATTACGGTCGCTAAGAGATGAGTTGCAGGCTCCTGGCCGTCAAGCTGACTATCCTAAATCTTGCAATTTCAATTCGATTAGCCATCACGACTCTCTCGAATGAACTAATCAGCCTCTACACCAGTCATTAAGTAGTTTAAAGGCTTTAAGATTGGGTCATGGGATGAGTTTATTGGGCTGTACATTCAGATTCAGTAAGTATTTATGAGCGCCAATAAGCTCGTCGAAGATGGGCATTTGATACGTGAGTTTTTTGTAGAAGTTAAGCACAAGCGAGTGCAGGTTCAAAGGTTCATTTATTAAAGTTAACTCCAGATAAGTGTGCAAGAATGCATTGACACAAGGGCGATAAACTGTACACGCTAAAGATTCCAGATTCTCGCTATGGTCTGCTTGAAAATTCCCGTGAGAGTGTTCGGATGGTCTTTTCTTCACATTCTCATGGCTTTTCTATCGCTGTTTTCATCGCTTTTCAGTGTGATCAGCTTGTGATATTTTATTTGATTTACGTTTACGTTAACATGTTGATCTCATCAGTGCGAGCCTTTTTCCTATCCTTTCTGGGGAGGAGGAGCACCATGATGTTTCCGCCCCCGCCCATTCGACCACTATGGAATTTGCGTTTTTTTTTTGTTTTGACATTTTGCTCGGTCATGTTGGTACTGTGCACTTAAAGGCCAACTCAATTGCACCTCCCTTCGGCCTTAATCGGCGTTGATCTCTCGGGAGCGTGCGTCCGAGTCTTTGCTGCGACCTGCAACTTCGTTGCCGTCCTGATCGACCGGCTTTTTCAACCCACCAGATCTTTTACCGGGTCGGCTGCGACGATGTGCATGCCCGACTTCTTTTTTAACGGTTCATCTGAAAAGCCATCCGGATGGACTGCCGACTGGCGATTACTTTGATGCCAGCTCATAAGAATTTGGTGAGTAGAGTGTGGGCCACTCCTGCCTTGAGGGAAGAAACTCTGCAGAAATACGGCCCCTGACCCTCAAAGTTTCTCCTCTGGTGAAGCAGTGGGTGATGCCAAAACGTCGTCTTACTCTTTTTCGCATCCCCATTTTCTACTCACTTTTCTCCGGAAAACGAGTCACCCAAATTACTTATCATTGCTCCTCAAAGAATGTCGTCGAGTGGAGAAGCGGCAGCGGTCTGAGAGGGCTATATAGCGCAATAGCCGCAACCATAACACGAAAACCGGGATGAAATTTTCAGATAATATTTCCTAGAAAGCCAAGTACGAAGCCTTCCCTCCACTGACTGAATATCACCCCCGCGGTGGGTCCTGGTCAGGAGGATCCGTCATTATCGTTCTCATCTGCCTGTGCCCTGCAGGTTAGTTTCTTCGGGAACATCGCTTGAAGATGCAACCGCTTCAAGATGGAATCCTACGCGGTTCAGCCAATCCATACGTCTCTATTTGAGTGGCCTGTTAGGTATCACACCTTCTTGGGGTTCAAATCGCAAACAACCCCTTGATTAAACCAGAACCGTATTCATCTAGCTCTAGCATTATTAATGCAGACGTGAATGGTGACGAATGTGGGGACCAGTGGATTGATGTATGGGCTACACAACATTTCCCTGCAGGAATTTTGCAGGTATTTCTAGCACCACTTACCCCGGTCTTTTCAGGGACGCCGCACCACTTTTTTGAAAAGTTATTTTTTTGAACTTCATCTGTGAGCGCTTTCAGAAATGATAGGCCTGGTTTTTTTTCCATGAGCTGCCCTGGGGATATCAAGGAATTTTTTGTGGAGACCTTCAATAGTGCATAACTTTCGGATCTTAAGTACTGGAGCAGTGAAGTGCCGCGGTCCAGGGACAAAAGAGTGGGCAGGGATGATCTGGGTGAGAAATGAGGGAGTGCGGGGGGAATTCCTGGCATTGCACGGCCTTATAAGATGCGCCGTTTAGTTCGATTTTGAAATCCCAGTAGCGTTTTAAAGGGCGATCGGGCTGATGAACGAAGTAACTACGGGAATCAGGTAGTAGCAGGTCAGATGTGTCGGCATCACGTATAGCAAGTTATGTACCACAGATCAGGCCGCTCAAAAAAGGAAGAAAAGGCTCGGATTGTCAAGGGTATAGGTTCTACCTAAGGCTTGGACTCCAGGATATGAGCAAACACGGTAAATATCAGCACAGGGTCTATCATCGTGATGTGTAAAATGTTGGTGTCCCCCCACCTAAAAGAGGGTCTCGGTCCGACCCCTCCTTCTCCGACACCTACCTACCACTTTCCTACAAGTTCCCAGCTTCCTATCAATTCCAACATTTTCCCGGTTTTCCACCCTACCCAAAGATTTTCCGTCGAGCTCGGAGAAGGGTGGGCGGGGGAGGAGGTATAAGCCAATATGAAACGAGAAAAACCGCAAAAGCCGAAAAAGAAAAATTAATCCCAACGCGGCGAATTTCTCTTGAAGGCACGTACGACTCCCTCCTCCCTCTCCCAGCAACGACCAAGCACACCACCATTCCCAGCAGCCAAGTATGGTCACCCACCCCCATTTGTTTCACACAACGATGCTGTACCCTGTGTCAGCATTGCCAAGAGGAATGAAATGAGTACCTCCGCGGTGTTTCCCACCACAGGTTGTTTCCTTCCGATCGATCAAAAAATAATCAAAAATCGATCGCCAATCGATCATTATGTAGGAAGCGCAGTCTGGGGTGGGCTCATTCCAGGCCTCTTGACACGAGCTCCACTGATGACCAGGCACATTCATGTGTGTGAATACAAGGGAAAAATAATTCATGAATTTCAAAATTTTGTCACCATAGGAGTTCAAACCGCTCTTCCTACTTTCGGCATCTTAGGCTTGTGAAAAGCAAACCTCATTCCTGTTTCCCATACCCGCGCCCCTATAACGCCAACGGATCCCCTTCAAAGAGGGGCTTCTTTTTGATCTACGAATAGCTGAAGGGGCGGGTCAGGAGGCGTGGAGAGAGCATACACCGGCTGCGTCTATTAGCAATATCGGGTCGGTTCCAAAAAAAAACACCAGTAGAACAGCCACGGGACTCATTCCTCCTGAACTCGTCCTGAATTATTACGACTGTACGTCAGAAGGCCCCAGCAGCATAACCACTGCGGCGGGCATCGTTGTGATTCCCGAACAAGGGAGGGGGGCGTTCGGTCGCTGGAGGGAGTCGTACTTGGCGTGAGAAAATTTGTTGATAGACGATTTTTCGGCGCTATTTACCCTCCACTGCCCCAGTTATGCGGGGCCAAACCAGTTTTTGACCAGTTTTTGACCTGTTTTTTCCTCCCTGGACAGAATATCGCATCCGTTTGGCCTGAAACGTCCTGGGCCCGCACCACAGTCATGACTCGGCTTAGTTTGGCGTCGATGCCTGTGGCGCGGGCGCTAGGAGGTTTCAGGCTGAGCGGATGTCATGTCGTGCTAAGGAGATCATAATATCCTTGGGAACAAGTTTTAAGCGAATTTGGTGATCCAGGGTATTTTGGCGCTGGCGCTCGTGGCGCGCGCCGGGAGGTTTGGTGCTGAGCGGATGTGATATTCATGGGTAACGAGATTTCGGATGATTGGGGCAGTAAAGGGTCAATAGGGCCGATTTATCTTGTTTGACGGGCGCTATAAGAGGGGGGGGACGTATCAAGCCACCCTTCGGGGGAGGGGGTCTACGGAGCCGGCCAAAATCCCCAACTAATAACGTGCCCTGGCGGATTCGAAATGAAATTTCCTTGACTGGATTCCGATTGTGTTTCAGAACATTTTTCACCGAAAGGAACTTTCATGTTATTAGAGCCGCACGCCGTATCACCTGGCTCATGTGGAACTTGAACGGGTCAGGTGATAATTATGATAACTGCATTTGCATAAAAACTGAATATCTGATCATTCAAAGAAAACTTAGACCCACCTGCGTTATGTCACTGATCCGTATTTCTACGCCTTCCACTTTTTGCAATATGTTCACGGGTTCGATTTTTGTGAATTGTGGCGCAATTACGGTGGAAAGCCGCCTGGAATTGAGAAGTTTTGCCAACTAATATAAATTCGTGACGAATTCGTGAGTAATCGCGGAAACAGGGATATTTTCCTTTATTTCATGAATTTTGCTGAAAATATCACGCTCACCTCGCTTGTCGTGATATTTGAGCGGTCACCGACTGGCGTCTTCCCGCCATTCCTACCTTATTACCCTAAAATTGTGAAATAATTTCCAAAACTTTTTCAGAACACTTATTACGAAGCACGTGACGTAAGGTGATGGTTCAAAAAATCAGGCCACAACAGATTGAGAAGAGATCATCTGCGAGAGAGCCGAAGTAATCGTATGCAATTAAAATATCCACACTGACCATGCGCCGGCGTCCAGCGGGTCAATCCGATCGGCGTCCCGTCCAAAGCCAGTCTAGCCTTCTCACTTCCCAGCCACTCGTATAACCACTGCGAGATTAAGTAAATGCTGCCTACAATTCTACCAAATTTTCTGATTACAAATCCAGTCTCTTACATCGGCAGGCCCCACAACTCAACTGTATAGTCCACATCCAGTCCGTAAGGCCTCTGCGGATAGAACCAGAATCGAAAGAATGCTCGCCGCATTCCAACAAGGGTGAGCAAGGTTTATCTTCATTACGTTCACCTACTAATGCACTTTCCGTCTGCCTCTATGTTTATGTCTCCGGATGCATCTTTCTTTGGCATCGCATCAGGAAGCACTAACAGAGTTTGCACAGGCTGCTTTGTGAAGACCTGTAAACTCCTGTAACTAGAGTGGTTCACTTGTACCATTTCGCAGCTTTATAAGATATTACATGTTTCACAAAAAACGAGCTTTTGGTTAATGTGAATTAGCAAAACGAACTAGCTAAAGTGTAGGAAGTCCCCCCTTCCCCCCCCCCCCCCCTCCGCCTCCCCTCCCTCCAAGGCGAACTGCATCTTTTTGGCACTATAACCGAAGGTGGTGTAGGAACGCTCAGTCTTATGACATTATTATCAAAAGAATAATCCTCATTCAAGAATAAGTGTGAGAACCACGGTCAAGGAACTTCAACGAGGGAAGTTGTATTTGTTTGGTGAAGGGACGGGGTATACCACAGAAAGAAGTTTCGAAGGAACGAGGTGTGTTTTGCAAGATTTCTCACCAGCAGCAGAACATCCCTGACCATCTGATTTAACATGACAATTTTCGCAGCACTTTTAGTGGGTAGAACTGGCAAATTGGTGCCTTTGTCCATTGAGAGCCCAATGCGAGTCCACAAAATTCTGACCATCTTCACAGTTTTTGAGAAAAGAGCTCAATAAAAACTAGTCGGAAAGCGACATGCTAGTGTAACCCATAGGCCCAGCAATCAATTGCGATTTTTGCTGTTGGAATCCCTTGTGAATAGGGTTACTAGAAGAATTCTGGGCATCAAGTCAACAAACGGCACAAAAGGTAGCGTTGCTTTCAACAGCAAGTGTGGGTGCTGTTGTTTGAGGCTTTGAATTTTCTTCCTGACAAAGGCTTTGTAGAGCCCGGACAAGGAGAAATAAAATAGAAGAAAATTGGATTGAAGAGTACAGTTAAAATGTTCTAGGTTCTTTTATGCATATCACTTAAGCGATAGGTAGCCGTACAATAGTGCAAGCTTACAACCAAGCCTTTATTAACCGCTAAAAGTTGCAGGCATGGCTTACTCCATTGCATGGGAGCAGTCTGTGGGATTTTATGGGCTACATAGTACGCTTGAAACAGGGAAAACAGAGGAAGAAGAAACGATCGGAACCATTTGTCTTACGATTGAAGGCAATCACGTCCCCTCCAATCCTTCCAGCTTCCGAATATGGCCTCCCTCGCAGGGGATCCCCAACGTACGACATGCCTTGTACATACACTCCCTATCCCTGAGACGGAATGTTCGTGGCGTTTGAACATGGCTCGTGGGTTACTCGTGGGATATTTTAATTCGAGACAGCTGTCATCTTGTTTTATGCGGACAAAGATATTACTACAAATGCCCCAAAATGAAAACACCTCACAAAGGGCTTGGCTGCAGCCACGTTCAGTTGAAGTACGCGGCCACGCCCACCACATATCAGAGATTTGGAGAATAGCATGCCCAAGAGTGAACGATAACATAATAGGTGGGTGACCTAAACTTCGGGATCAAGTCTCGGATCTTCTTATCCAGGTTGTCCAAGCCTTCGTGATTGGTTATCTTGTACAGATTCATCTGATAGGGTAAAAATACAGTCGTATACCCAGAAATCACTGAAGCACTCTTTCAAATGCCTATTGCTTTTCCACATGGTCCAATGGTCCAATGCATGACGTAAAAAACTGCTCTTAAAATGGCAGGGTCACCAATTAATAGCACCGTCCCCGCGATGGAAGATGTTGATTCAGAGGTATGATGTGGGGCAGGGGATAGGTACATTGTTGGTGTGTGGTAGGAAGTGATAACAGCTGATAATATACCGTACAGGGTCTCAAAATGGTAGGCTAATCAAATTGATAGCGCCGTTCCCCACGGTGGAATGACGTTGGCTCCGAGATATGATGATTTGCCCTATGCCCAGCTATGGCCTTTTCAGTTTTTGGAATTCATCAGCTGTTTTTATGGTAGGCCTGGTCGTAGTGGAAACTCAACATGTATTTACATTATTTTTCAAAAAATAACCTGATTACATGGGAATTCATTTTGTTTTGAAAGCAATTTTCTTGTATGTATAGCAAGAATATCTAAAAAATGCTATCATGCAAAAAGCTCCTCAGTCATGTCCGAGCTGGTTTTTACACCAGTTATTCGATGGGCTTATGATTTATTAATTTTTTAATTAATAAGCGATACAGAGCGTATGCGACCAGAGGCCAATAAAAACAAATAGGAATTCAGACAAGCGCTTGTGATGTCATATGGCATACATATAAACGAAGTGTAAGCTCGAACAGCCAAAGAGAATTTGATGGTGTTCGCCTTGGGGGAAAAAAAGGGGGGGGGGATTATCTTACTAGTTCACGTCGACGTGGAGACCTGTAAATACTTGTGGAGCGTGGAGCGTCACTCAGCAAGGCATACAGGTCATTCTGTGAGAACTGTAAACCCTTGTCATGATGATGCGGCCGAAAATCGTGGTGCTCATGCTATTTTGTAAGTTTTCAAAAATTTACACCCTTATGCGAAGCAATTTGGCCACGCCTCTTAGATTTCGTGGCAACGAGAGCCTTCAAGTCACAAAGATGAGGAAAATAAAGGGACTACCAACTAGCAACGTCCCCCCCCTCCTAAGCCGAACAGCGCGAATAATCGAATAAAGTTCCTAACTTCCACTATTTTCTCTTTTATGCCAAATACGCTCCAATCAGAATTCTCGGATGAATCGGGAACCTTCGTCAAATATTACCTACCTTCTTTCTAGCCATTTTAAACAGAAGCAGGCATTGGAGTTGCCGAGTCGAGTCACAGCCGGACAGAACTTCTTGGCGTATGACGTTCAGAAAAGGTTTCTGATGGCTTGCGAGCTACGACGTTAATAAAATATGCAGAACGATGGCCATATTGATTCCCTAATGGCGCTTGTTGGCATTGTTCGGTTATTGATTTAGTAAGTGTAAAAAAGGTGATCGGAATTCTCGCTGTTGAGCTTTTGACTCAAAATTCGAAGGAAAATGACTAAACCCTCGCAACAATGGTTAGGCTCGAAGGAAGGTACGCCGAACATTCACCCGTTGAAGGGAGAATACTGAGAACGCCATCGAGGAGCATTGCTACTCGCTCCGTTCCCCCTCAAGGTGGAGGGAAATTCAGAATTGGGGGATTCGTGCACAGCTTGCACGAAATGGGACACTGCTATGAGCACGAAATCGAAGGTTCGTCTTATATAGGCTCTCATCTTCTTTATCCGATCCAATCCACAGTCAACATGCCCGTCGCTTGATAAATGAAGGCGGAGCTAGGCTGCAGAGTAGAAACTCCGGATTGCAGCGTCACAGCAAAAATGGTTTTGGAAATGGTTGCGCGTGCGCGGCATTCAAACCAATATCTAGTTTACATCAAAGCAACACAGTGAGCCGAGATTTTTCTCTGGTCGTCCTCTGACTTGAACGTTCGGCCGCATTCAAATTCTCGCAGCCGGATTAAACCGTTTCCATTGGGAGTCCACTCTGTAATGGTAGATCGTCCTCTGTGATTGGAATAGACCTAGTTTTTTCAAGCTATGTTGAATCTCATGGTTACTAGAACCTAAAATAATTAAAACCATCAGAGACCTTTAGTTTTGTAGAGCTTCAGTTCCAAGAGGCTCAGAACACGTGAATTCTTGCATGAAAAGGAGGCCATCTACGGCGTGCAGATAACATTTCGAAATTTCGTTCGTTCGAAATTCATTGGTTTGCTGGGCTCAGGGTTATATGGACTGGTCGGGTGGGTTAAGCTCAAGAAACATGG